TGGTTTAATCTCATCATCAAATGGCTGGCTGATCACGCATAATCTTGGCACACATTGGGGTCTGACTTGTTAATAGTATAGCATACGTCTCCCGGAGACCATCTGAAATACCGTATTTTTTGCTCTATAAAATTCACTTTTTCCCTCCTAAAAAGTAAGAGGAAATGCATGTGCGTCTTATGGAGCGAATGCATGCTGCGCAGCTATCCCAGAAGCCAGAACATGCTGCTTTCATTGCATAGCGATCCCTCTTGCTGTTCTGGCTTCTGAGATTCAGAATATTTTTTTTCTTGTTTTCTTCCTCAAAAAACTAGGTGTGTCTTGTGGTCTGGTGCATCTTATAGAGCGAAAAATACGGTACATGTTTTAGAAAAGCTGCATTAATAATTCAGAAATTATGGTCACACAGAAGTTTTACAGCAAGACGACGAAATTTACCCAGTATCATTTGAAAAGATAAAAATGTTGCCTAAGTACAGTGAAATGATGGAACTATCCTGAATGAGTGCTATTTTTAAGTAATGAATATAAGAATTTCCTGATGGATGCATTGGGAAGAGGCACTAAAAATGAAGGGCAACTTTTGATCCTTCTGGTGAATGCAGCAAGGATCACACAGTCCAATTAATAATTAAATCTTGTACTTTGAATTTATGCAGAAGTCTCCATATTGTCTTAATTCAGTTGGACTAATGGGAGAAAGTTAATGCTAACTTACTTAAATTCATTTAACTCAGGATTCAAGTTACACTTTTGTGATTCCCCCTGCCACTGAAGCAATACATTGTTCAGGGAATCTCCCTGACTCTCCAAAAGAGCTGCAGAAGGATGATGGAAAACTCTTCTTCTGCAGCTACAGATAGGTAGCCGTGTTGGTCTGCCATAGTCAAAATAAAAAAGTTCCTTCCAGTAGCACCTTAAAGACCAACTACACTGTGTATCTGAAGAAGTGTGCATGCACACGAAAGCTCATGCCAAGAACTAACTTAGTTGGTCTTTAAGGTGCTACTGGAAGGAACTTTTTTATTTCTTCTTCTGCAAACCTCCATAACATTATAATTATACTGCTGCTTCCAATTTCAGTCCCACAAACATCAGAGTTCAAAGGGACTTGTGAAGGTAAGTTCATATAGGATTGCATCCAACACCCTGAGCCCGGCTTCGGCTGGGGAGGGTGGGATATAAATAAATTTTATTATTATTATTATTAATCATAAGTAAAGACATACTGAATTCATTCAGATATACTCTAAGCTTTTCATAAAGTGATCAAACAAATAAGATTTGTGGTACTGCATTTTGTGTGTGCTTACAATGGATGACCAAACCAGTAAATGCGGATAATTCGATTGCTCATTTGAATTTTTGTTTTTATTTTTGTTTCATCTTCCCAATAAATTTACAAGCTGAATACATCTTTCAAGTTCATTTTCTCTTTTAAAAAGAGACGGCTGCTCATTCAATATATATAGAAATATACTTTTAAAATAGACAGTGAATACCTTCAAACGCCTTTGACCCTCAAAGCATTTTGGGTGTCCTCCATCAGCATTTGTTATTAAACTGAGAGTTGACATTTTTTAACCACTGGTCTTCACCTGGTGCATCATGATCCATTCAGGGTTCACAGCCAGACCCAAGATGGCCCTCCAGAGCAGTCTTTTACCTTTATGGAAGGTAAAAAAATAAATAAGAAGCAGGTTGAAAAATTAATATTTGAGGTAAAGGTGGATCCTTAATCTGAAAAGGTTTTATAACATTATGGGTACGCAGGATAAAGGGTTGCATTAATAGAGTATCAATTGCTGATCCTTGGAAAGTTCCAAATGTCCCCAGTAGAGAGAAGGGCATTGCAGAAGGCAGTAGATATATGTTCTTGGAAAGAAAAGCCCTTCTCTCAGTTTTTTTCCCTTAGTTAGTTTACATTCTTATTCTGCATTCCCTTGGGTACATAGTCCCAGGAGCCTCATTGATTCAGCAGCCTCAAGAACACTCATGCAATACAGAGTTTCATCTGTACCTGTTCATACTGCAAAGAAAAAGAAAGAAATCTAGTGTGTTATATGTGGGGGTGGTCCATAACACAGCAGTAGAGTACATTGTACACGAAATATTTCCCAACACCTCCAGGTAGGGTTGCAAATTTCCCTGCCTGAAATCCTGGAAATCTGCTACCAGTCAAGGAAGACAATGCCGAACCACATGGATCAGTGGTCTGAGCTTGTATAAGGTGACTTTCAATGTTCCTGTGTTTCACAGCAGTTCCAAACTCACCCCCCTCACTGTTTCATTTCATGATGAGCTGATTTCCAAATTCCCTTTATCTACATACATTTCCTTAGAATTTGAATAGGTTGGCCACTGAATGACATGGATGGAGATACTTCTACCTAAAAATGTTTACCTTTGACAAGTCAACTAGATTTGCAAGAATCTTTTATTAGCAATATGATCAGAACAGGTCCAGTAAAGCATTGCTCCCTTTTTAAATATACTTTTACTGTGGCACCTTTCTGCTTCCCACAAGTCTTCTTAATGCTCCTTTTACTTCCCGATTTCTGAGTGTGTAGATGACGGGCTTTATCATAGCTTGGAATCTGTTATGTTGGCTCTAGGGGTCAATTTTATTTGTCTCATTCACTATTCAATGCAATTTACATAATTTTTTAAACTTCATTTATGTATGTTACAAATTTACATAAATAACATACTTTATTTCCACAGCATTTATTGTCAATGCAAAGGGCGGGGGGGGGGGGACCACACAAATTAAACAGCAGGGGATGTCATACATTACATGTCCATTGCACAGTGTCATTAAATAACAACAGTTATTACCGATTTCTAGTCACTGGGTTGATTGATTTCTGTTCTGGACACAGGATGAATATGGGAATATCAGCCATTTCCACATCTTCAACATCCCTAGTAGGCTCCACTGTGATTTAGGACCCTTACAGTCCAGGATTCTAAACTGTGTGGAGAGCAGAGTAATCTCCCCAAAGTATTTCAGCTCCCAGTTCATGAAATGATATATAGTTGCGTGTGTAGGTCACCAAGCCACCCCTCAAAATAATTCACAAAACACACGTAATTTAAATTTAAGGTTTTTGGGCACTATTTTGGCCACAACTTTATTAAAATACAAAATCTGTGAGTTGTTGCTTAGACATTGGTTATGACTATCTGTCCCCCCGCTTGGGACAGAACTGACATTCCGAACTCCATCTGAAGCCAGTGAAGGGAAAGACAATGTTGAGGATCAGTTGAGCTGAGTGACAGCCCTCACCGCTCACCCAACCAGCTCCCCAAGGCTTGCCGGCCCTGGTCCCATTTCAGGGATTGGACAAAATCATGGCAAGCCCAAGGATTCCTTTAACGGAATTCCCTTTGAGCACCATTGGAGGGGGTAGGCACAGCCTATCCTGACCCCTCCACCACCAGCTTTTTATAACCAATGCCTAACCGCAACCTTACAAGTTGTGACGAATTGCTAAGTAGTAGGCAAAAACCAAGTGGCACCAGCCAATCAGCCAAATGGTAAAATTCCTACTAGGCCCCTGCCCCAAGGCAGACGACCCCATGACAGGCAAAGCAAGGTCAACCAGAACACAGGGCGGGGCGGGCGGGCGATCTGATGCACTCTGCTAAAGAGAAAGCAAAAGCCAGAGTGCCCCAATATTTAAAGACTATGATCCCACCCACCAATTTGCTACAAGCAATTTGCCCCAGCAACCTAGTCAGCCAATCATTGCACCAGGCAATAACCATTAACCTCCCTGGCAACAGAGGGCTGGCCTGGCAGCCCACACCGCAACCCGTGCTCTCATTTTAGGGAGAACACGCTTCGCGTGATTAGAATTCAATGAAGGAACAGGGCAGATGGACTTTCCCCCACTCTCCTTCTTGCAAAAATCTAATCACATAGGCATGGACCTCTGAAGAATGCTACTGAGTAACCATATTCTAATTCCAAGCTCTTTTACAAGTTTCAATTACTTCTCCATGAGTTAAAATGGAAGGATTGGGAAATAAGAAGGGGGAGAAGCATGAAAAACAAGCAGCTGACCAACTGAGATATGAGATTCAGAAGTGCAAGAGCCTCAGAAGTATGGTGCCCATAAATATTAGACTTCATTGACTGACATAGAACCAGCCATAGCAAGAAGGCATGTCCTTGAGTCCTGTACCATCTGTTTCTGATTCTTACATTCATATTGAATATATAACACAGGAAAATAAAGGAAAGAAAGAAGCATACTGGTCATAAATGTTTATAATCTCTGACTGCTTTGAGCTATGCCCTAGAAAAGCACCCTGGTTATTTGAGCAACACATTTGACAAATGAAATTACAGGTTTTCTAGAAACTGTGCTCTGAAAGGTGAAAAATATTAGCTACAAGAGAAGGAGAGTTCATGAGGAAAAAGTACATAAGGTTGTGAAGCGAAGAGTTAGTACTCACAACCAACATTATAAGTCCACTTCTAATTAATTTACAGTGCATGCTTATTCAATTAGTAGTAAGGCCCACTATGCTCAGTGGGTCCTACTGCAAGTGAAATGGAACTACAATTACCATGTTTCTTTGAGGGAAGCAATGTGCTTTTAATATATGGTATGGTTGTGACCTCAATCACTGCATGATTGGAACAACTTTTGCAAGTCCCAACCTCTCCTTCCCCTGTGCACCCCAGAAACGTGCTTAGTATCATTCCCAATCCTTCAGAGTCAACTGGGAGGAGTGTGGAGAAAGCATGGGGAGAGAAGAAAGGAAAATTCAATCGCACTTGCAGAGATCATTGCACAACATAAGCTTAATTCTACATCCCCAGTAGATTTAACTAGGGGGTAGAAAATAATAGAATATAGTGGTGCCATTGAATTATTTTTTATCACAATCAAGTAGAACATACCAGTGGATAAAGGCTTGTTCAAAAGTAGCAGCACCTATGAGAACTTAATTCTGTTCACTATATCTCTATGCTCATTTTTTAATTATTATTTCTCTTTTCTTCCCACAAGTCTTTTTAATGCTCCTTTTACTTCCTGATTCCTGAGTGTATATATGAGTGGATTTAACATGGGAGTCACAATTCCATAGAAGGCAGAAAATATCTTGTCTAATTCATGGGTACTTTTAGTTTGTGGTTGGAGATACGAGAATATAGCAGTGCCATAGAATATTGTTACTACTGTCAAGTGGGATGCACATGTGGAGAAAGCCTTCAGTCTTCCACCTGATGAATGAATTCTCAGAATTGCCACAACAATACGCAAATATGAGAAAATGATAAAGGCAAAGGGGGCAAGCAAGGTAAGAACGCCAGTTAAGAACATCACCAGTTGGTTCATGGAAGTATCTGAGCAAACCAACTTCAAAACTGCTTTGAGTTCACATGTCAAATGGTCAATCACATTTTGTTTACAAAAGCGAGCTGGCATGGTATAAATCGGGATTACCCCCAAGAATATGCCACTTGTCCATGTCCCAGCTGCTAACTGAATACAAAACTTCCTGCTCATTATTAGTGTGTAATGTAGTGGACTGGAAATGGCTATATACCGATCATAAGCCATGATGGCCAAAAGGAAGCATTCAGTCACACCCAAGCCAACACTAATGCTCATTTGCAAGTAACACATTGTATAGGACATGGTGGGCTTGTCTACCAGAAGGTTTGCAATGGACTGTGGGACTGAAGATGTTGAATATACAATGTCAAGGAGGGAAAGGTTACTGAGGAAAAAGTACATGGGGTTGTGCAGTCGAGGATCACCTGCAATCACCAAGATGATGAGGCCATTTCCCACCACTGTTATAGAATACACAACAGTTATGAAAACGAGTAATCCTATCCTTGTCTTTGGTCTACCAGAATAGCCGATAAGGACAAACTCAGTCACTGTCGTCTCATTTTCCTCTTCCATATCCTGAATTCAGTATTATCTGCAAAGACATGGAGAAAGGAATTAATCTAAATCAAGGCCACGGTCAAATTACAAAAACATTATGCAAGTAAGCCTTTCAGTCAGAGAGGAGGATGGCTTTTTCTTATGATGCTTTATTTATTTTATTTAATCAGAAAGTTAGTGTGAAAATATTACTTCTCTTCAAGTATCATAGGAAAAATAATTCACATTGTATAATTTAAATAATTCACATTGTATAATTCTTTGCATGCATTCTTTTTATTCAAGTGAGAGTAGGAGATTTTTGATTAAATTATGAAAAACAATACTTTGAAAGCAATAAAATGTAATCCAAAATGTATTTGTTTAGGACTTTTTAAGTTTATAAATATGCTATATAAAAAACAAAAACAAAAATGCATTTTTGGTAAACAAAAAAACAAGAAAACATACTCAAATTTATAGACAAGATTAATAAAGATGTAAATATAGTTAAAATAAAATTATTATAAAGTATTAATTATTTACCTTTTCTTAAGAAAATAAATAAATGAATGTTGCTTAGCTATGATTTTATTATTCCATTAATTTACAAAAAGAACCATTTTCCAGTAAACTTTTTATCTTTATTTATGATTGTTGTTTTGGTTGTTGGGGCACCTTGGAAATATAGCTTTTTGTTGCAGGTTCGGAATATAAATTATGCTAAATCATTAAGCGATTCAAAGCACATCCCTGGGCATATCTACTTAGAAGTAAGCTCCATTCAGTTTGGCTGGAGCTACTCTAAGGTAAGTGGGTATAGGATTGCAGTCTATGTTGAAACATTTGCATGGTGATGAAACAACTGAACTAAAACTCACCTTACAAACAATATAACTTTCTCCACCTATGTTAAATGAGATACATCCAAATGACATTAATAATAATGTTGGAGATGTGAATCTGTTAGGACAGCTTTAACGCATATTTGATAGTTATGCCATATTATTTTGGAAATACGTTTTACATGATTTTTTTTTAAATGAACCAGTACATCTAGAGCTATTAAGAATTTTATTCATGATAACTTAAGTTTGTATTGCTGTGCATTGGAAAACCTCACATTCCACTTTAGGAATAATTGAAAAACAGCAACAACACTTCAATGCCATTAGTGAAGCTGATATATTTCTCTAGAACTTAATTACAGGAAAAGTGAAGGGAAAATTTAGAAATACCAATAACAAAATAAACCACTACCATGAAACCATTAAAATAAATGAACAATTGTATTAGGATGAGTGCACTGGCATAATATCCAATATAGCATTTCAGTGGAAAGACTATTTTATTAGGCAGACGTGAATTTTATAAAGTATAAAATAGGAAGCACAACCAGCAGCATTGAAACGTGCTTATTTTTTGTCATTTAGTTTTGAATACCTTCAAGAAAATCCTTTAAAACTCTGCTGAGAATCTCTCTCACTCTCTGGACACCTGCCACCACAAAACAAACACACACATCCCTACTGGATCTTTCTCAGAAATATGAACTCAAGTATTTCACTTTATATACCCTAGAAACTGCAATATGTGAATTGCCTAAAAGCAAATCTAGATCCAAGTGATTTTGCTTCATCTGATTGCAGTTTGAATACTCACAGTTTGTCAAAACAGAGCACAGCATCTTTCAGCTGGATAAATTTGGCAAGAGAAATAAAGAATGAAATGAAAACACAACAATACCTTTAAATGCTTTTGCCCTTTAAGGCTCTGTGGATGTCCTGTGTCTGCATTTGTTATTAAATCAAGAAGCAGGATTCTTTAAATTACATGGGGATTGCATCCAATCAGTATGTGGAACAATGAGAAAAATCTAAAGATGTTTGAATGGAAAACTAGGAAAACTAATTCAACATAATTTTTTATGAGATTTCAAAATAATAATAAGAAGAAGAAAATTAAGTAAAACTAGATACCGTATAAGAGGATGCATTTTGCATCTCTTTCATGATGGCATCATAATTGAAAATTTGCAGAATTGTCCCTGTGCAGCCCCACAATAAATACTTGCATTAATAAAGTCTTCTTTTGTGTTCCACAGAACAAAAATCCAACTATTTTGTTGTTGTTGTTCTTATGCATCCATATAACAGTAAAAAAAGCCCAATGGGACTTTGTTTGACTTTGTTCCTTAGTTGCTTGCTATTTTTAATGAATACTCTCCCTCTTCACTCCCATTGGTGCATAATCCCAGGGGAATGAATCAGCATTCTCAAGTATATTCTTAAACAATGCAAACTTTCATGCCACTCTGCAGGAATATAGACCTACATAATGCTTAATCTGAAGGAAAACTTGTGTTGGACAGGTCCTGCTGGTGAGCCTCCCATAGTCTCTTTGGAAAACAAGATGTTGGATTAAATGAGCTTTTTCCTGTCCCAGCAAGAAACTCCTTGTGTTCTTTTTGCTGTGTATAGGGTAATTAGAGTCAAAATGAACACACTGAAAAGGAGCTTCTAATATCCATGCATTCACAAGATTGTTTGTTTAAGAGCCTTAATTCCTGAATGTACCCAGAAATATAGAATCATAGAATTATAGAGTTGAAAGCAACCAAGAAGTTCATCTAGTCGAATCCTTTGTGATGCAGGAATCTGAAATAAAGCATCCATAACAAATGACTTAAAAAACATCCATGGAGGGGCCACCTGGGGGCGCATTGGAAGATGGCCGACAATAACATCTCTCCGATCCCACACAAGGTAATTAAGAGGCTGATATGGGAGTATGCAGCCTCCCTTGCCCCCCCCAAGGGAATGGGGGGACTGCCTTGCCAGCTGTGTCCATAATTCACCCCCGGATTCGAAAGAAGGGGGTGAGGGCACTTGGCATGAAGCCCTCGGGTGAGGTCGGCTCTCCCTGACGCTGTCTCTAATCGCGCACTGGTTAGCATTAGCTCGAAATATATAATTGGAAATATATAATTGGAAAGAAGCTAATGCACATACATCAAGTGAAGATCGGGAGTAAAGACTGCTGATTAATGGGATCTCTGTGAGCGGAGCGACAGGCTGGACAATAAATCAAGTGTGTGTGTAGTATCAAGTGAAGAATCATCATTAAAAGATTGGTATGTTGGAGTGAAACGGAAAGGGGGGGAGGAAAAAACTTTTCTTTTCTTTTTTGGTCTTATGTGAGTACCAATAACCCTCCCCTCCAGAGAGAAGAATCATTGCAAATTACTAATCAGAAGCAGGAGATTAAGAACTGTGTGGAAAGGAATTACTGATCAAAGAGAGGACTGGTGGAAACATCGGGGAATGTAAAGAAAGTTTTATGACGCAGTTACAAATGGAGTTTCGTTAAGACAGGCTTGCCCATAGGAGGACGAGGGGGAGGAGGACCAGGGTCATTGGAATGTGAATGTATGGTTATCGGAATGTGATCTTGACCTGGCAGGGCCACCTGAGATATAGATTGGCAAGCCTGTGGAAATCAATGGACAGACTGTGGGAATGTTATTTACGGAGGTGTGGAAATGGCGTCTGTCCTTTATGTGATATGACTCTTGGAGCGTATAAAACCCACACAGGATATGTTTGTTTTCAACCCACTTGTGAAGATTATCAGAGATAACAAAGAAAGGAATATATGATAACAACAAGAAGATGAGGAAAATAACAAAGAGACTATCTGAACAGAACTGGATAGAACTGTTTAATTAAAGCAGCAGCAAAAGTGATGTTTGGATCCCTTTCGGAGCTTGAAGTATGGGTACCCCCAACAAAATTTAAAAAATCTGGCTGTATAATTTGGAACTAATGTGATTTGGAATTAATGTGATTTGATTGGCCTGTTAATAAAAATTATATTAAAAAAAAATCCATGGAAGGAGAGTCAACATCCTCACAAAGGAGGCCATAGGATGGTCTATGGATATCGCCAGCTTCATTTTTGCCTTTATTTATTTGAAGATCTTCACAGATTAGGGTGTGTGCTAATGTGAACGGGGCTAGTAATCAAACTCATTAAAGTGTTGCATTAATATTTATTGAGGCATAGTGGGTCACTTTTAGAATTTATACTGGAGTAACATGGATCCTAGCATTCACCACCATCTAATTGCAGTCATATAAGAAAAAGTGCACAACTGTGTTTTCTGGTTCCATCGCCTCTGTCTCTTCCCTGTTGCTCACTCTCACTAAATTGCACGTTGGAAGGGCTGGTCTGAACAGTAATAGCAGGCAAGCACCTTCATAGTCTTGTTTTTGGCACCTCTTGGAAACCTCTTTTTCTTTTTTTGTTTTGTTTCCACAAGCCTCCCCAGGCATGTAATTTCAACATGCCATTTTATTGTGAAATATTGTTTTTTAAACAGTCAGGAAGGCTGATCATGCCAAATGACTGATATATTGCAACATAGCAAACAGCCTGCTTTAATAATTATGAATAATAACTCAATAATGTGGAAGGTACTGTATTTTTAAATCTCAAAAGGAAGGTTTGGACAACAGCTTGGACTGGAAGGATTAATGATTTGGGAGTGCCGCGACATTAAACTTCAGAGATTGGATAACAGCCAGATTATGGAAATGGGCAGCCAGTTGAAGCTGCGCTTAGCAAAAAGACATGTTGGAAAAGTATATTACACAAATTTAAAGCTATACTCGACGGACGCAAAAGCGATTATATGATTTCTGACATGATTGAGAAATCGCAGACGAGACAAGAACTTAGAGTGTTATAATTGGAGAAGTGGAAATATGGAACAACAACAAGAGCAGAATTGAGATTGTGGAGTTATGCTTCAAGGTCCAGACTATGGGAAGGCCTGAAAAAATTTAATAATTACAATATTGTAAGATAATTTGACCTTTTAATTTTAGTTCCCCCCCCTTTTTATTTATATGATTTGAATGTTAATGGATGTTTTTTTTGTATTATAAAAATGATTTACAATAATGCACATAAAACATCAAATATTAAAATTAATATTCCTTCTAGGACCTTAGAGACAGTAGATTGTTATGTTT